TTAGAAACTTGCATATTGCTTCCTCATCATTACAGATCGTTATTATTGTTCCTATTTTATTTCGCTCATAAAGCTTCCTCTATGAGGAAGCCAAACTAATAAATACTAATAATTATGCATCAAATAAAATACAAGCTTCCTCATAAGAGGAGCTTTGTAAGCAAAATAAAATAGGAGCAATGGTAGCGATCTGTAATGATGACAAAGCAATGTGCAAGTTTCTAATTTGCACACTTTTTATTGATTTTTTAATCTCTTTATATTTATCTAATTAAAAATAAACGATATAAGGCGTTATACCATAATCCAAGTTATTGACACTTTCAGTCTGAAAAATCTTTCAATTAAAGATTAAATATCAGATTAGATATTTTCAAGATTAAATGTCAGATTCGATATTTTATCTTGATATTTATTACATTGATTATTTATTCTTAAAAAGATAACAGGCAACAACGGCATGACCTGCAATATCAGATTAAATATTTTATTTTTAAAGAGATAACACGTAATAGCGATACAAGTTAAAATTATTTTTTAACCAAAGATATTTAATAAAATGCATCAACGAGCTTTTATAAAGACAGTACAATCTTCTTTTGTTTAATATTAAAATTATATGTAGATATTCTTTATAAAATTACGAAAGTATGCTATTCCCTAACTTGCTTTTATAAAAATAGGACAACTGTCGACTTCACGTACAATAATATATTGTCAAGTACCTATAATAAAATTTTACTTATACTCTTATATTACAAAAAGACGTATATGTATGTATATGTACGTACATAAACATATGTACATAAATGTGCACAGACAAGAATATGCAGAGGTTTCATATATATAATTATTATATCTATTATATATAATTAGAGTACACAATGGTTTTATCTGGACAAAGTCTGGGATATAAGGAAATAGAGCATTTGCTATAAGGTAAACGGGTAAATATCTATTATAGCATCATGATAAAATTGTTTTATTACTCCAATGCTGCAATGTCACGCTCATAATCCAATTACGCTGTCAAATCGAGTAATATAATATAATCAAGATAAAGACTTATTACAAACAACGGTGACTTGCGCGGATGTCGTAACGTTTACTGTGCGATTTTATAAACGCGTCAATTAACTTCCTGAACAGCGAAACAATTTGTGCGAATTGCTGGAGAACAAAATATCATCTGTTATACATAAAGATTCTATTAGAGATTGCGTGCGATTATGAAATGCAGACTACTTACTTCATCATTTGCATGCGAATAATGTATAAATAATTAATTTTATATATTACAATCTTTCCTTTATATTATACTATATAATCTGCACGTATTAATTTGAATCTATATCGTTAAGTTAAAAATGTCTAATAAGCATACTTTGTATAAATGATCTTATTGTTTGAATAAATGTTTTGAAATATTATTGTCTGTGATTATTGTTATCGTTTATCGTTATAGTATCAATATAGTATCGATATATTGTTATCATTATACGGAATAGATAAACACATTTTGATAATATATGCCCAGATAGCAACGTATTTGCATTGTTGCTATGAGAATTGTGGCAACTGAGTCCGCATTTATCGGCAAATTGATGCCTTCACGATATAACAATTTTATATAGCAACTTGCCTGCAGCAACTTGTTGGCAACTTACGCTGCGGTCTAATGGTGCGTTTCCACCTGAGAGTAAGAACTCTCGAGAGCAAAAAGAAAGAGAGAGAGAGAGAGATACTCTCGAGAGTCTCTTTCTCTTTCTCTCTTTTTGCTCTCGAGAGTTCTTACTCGCAGGTGGACACGCACCCTAAAATCGTCTGATTCAAAATTCGAGCTGTTGCTATCATGTTGCTGTAATAATTCATAGAATCACACAATGCTGTCATATTGCTGGCAACGCGAAGTAAATTTGCTGCTGCTCTTTTGCCGACAAATTGCTGGCAATACATATATCCAATGTTGCCTGCATGTTGCTTCAAATATTAAATTATTCGAAATCAATTGAAGCAAATGTACGGCAAGTTGCTAGGATCTAAGCAATCACAGGTTGCGCGATTTTGTTCAGACACGCTTTGCTATCTAGGTGATTGCCGACATTAAAATCATTGCAAAAATATTTCAGCAGAAATATTTAACTTTTTTTCCTCATAATTTACTTTCGTTATTTGCTTTTTTATATTGTATTATATTCTAAATACGCAAACTGTTTTTTATTGTTAGTAACATACGTGCTTCACGCACTTAAGATTACGTACCGGAAATTCTTACGATACCCAGATAGCCAACCATTCCTTGGCATAAAAAGGAAATAGTGTTTGGCATAAGTTTCCCTTCAGTTGTGTCATCATATTGCTGTCACCGGACAACAGTAATTTCGTTTAGAGCAACTTAAAAGCATTATGCAGACAACGATTACCTTACGCAAACAAGCAGAAAGCTCGTAGTATACTTATTGCCATAAAAGTTGCCACAATCTGTTGGCAACCGTTTTGGTGGCAATAAAAGTCGGCAAGCCAATAGGCAAAATCGGAAGCCGCTTTCCTCAAAATTAAAGGCAACTTAGCAGAGCAGTTTTAAGCAAATTGACAGCAACCTGCGGGCAACTTGCTATCTGGGTAGTTAACATGTTATCAACTTTTTATATCTCAGTTCCAAATTTACGAAATTATTTTTGTAATAATCATCATAAAATTGTAAATGTCAAAATTTGATTAATATTTTAATAATTATTTAAATCTAAGCTACATTAACAGTACAGTGAAATAAAGTTAAGTAGAAAAATGTTAGAGACGCATATGTTATCAAAAAAGTAGTTACCATGTGGATAAAAATGAAAAAAAATATATAAAAATTTTTATGTGATTTGAGAGATCAGTAGACAATTTATATTTTTACTTAACTTAGCCATGAAATCGAAGAAGAATAAATATTTTAAGAGAACAATAATGCGAAATATATACAATTTTGTAATAAATTAAATGTACATGCAGGCAAAAATATAGAATAAACAAATAATGCATTTGCCACTTCAATTATTATCAGTACGTTGATGAAGTGTTGTTTCGCTTCATCTATTCAATAAAAAAACAATATGTATATTGACTGAGATGCATATATTGACGCAGAGTATGAAATCCGCGAAGATTTTTTTCCGTTAAATATCACATATAAAGGACCCCGCACAAAAACCTATGGAAATGGGTTCTCGGCGAATTTGTCTGAAACTTTGGGAAAATGTTGTTCATGTCATCCTGATCAAAAGTTCTCATGGCAAAAACTCTGTTTAAAGCAGTATTTTAGCTCCAGGAGACCTCAAAGATGGATATTTTATCACGCGATCACAGATGATTTTACCCATTCAGCTTTCAGAATAATGATTGTGTGTGTATTGCATAACCCATAAAACCTAATAACCTAATGTATTGATGAATAACAGTAATAACAGTATGAACCGTCGGCATTAGCGTTATCCAATGTGCACCGCAAGAAGGTTGCGCGATTTTTCACATTATTATGGCCCTGAAAAGGACCGATTTTGTCCTCAGGTTTTATATGGGTTATGCAATACACACACAAACACACACAATCATTATTCTGAAAGCTGAATGGGCTGAAATCATCTGTGATCGCGTGATAAAATATCCATCTTTGAGGTCACCTGAAGCAAAAATACTGCTTTAAAGAGTTGTTGCCATGAAAACTTTTGATCAAGATGACATGAACAACATTTTTCCAAAGTTTCAGACAAATTCGCCGAGAACTCATTTCCATAGGTTTTTGTGCGGGGAGTCCTTTTATATCCAGAGATAACGCTCATGATAGACGACCTTCGTGAATAATTCCACTATATTCTTGCCGTTCAGAAAAATTATTCAAGTTTAGGATGACGGTATTATGGACGGCAACAAATAATGCATAAATTAATTTTGAAAATCGTACATCCTCACAGGATTAGCTATTATAGCAAATTTAATTGTAAAATGATAACCAACATTTTTTGCAGCGAAAGCAGTATTTTTTGCAGCAAGAGCTATAATTTAGCAACAGCATCAAAAGTTTAACAAAAAGTTACTTTAACAAAAGGTAAGCTTTCTTTTTTGTGCAAAATCTGATGAATTTTATGCATTCCTCTGAAATCTTTCTTCCTTAATATATTACATATTTTCACACATTCATATACCTACAATATATACTCATTTTACTCATTTATAATTTCCTTTAACGTTTGCCAGTTTTAATAAGACAAGAGTATAGCACAATTAAAAAAAGAAACGGGCACAGTAACAACTGTGCCGCAAGCAACAACGTAGAACTACGTCAACTGTCACTATTATTCAACCAAAGACAGATGACGTAGCCCTACGTCTACTTTCCTTCGCTGAATACTTTAACATGAAATAGTGACAGTTGACGTAGGTCTACGTTGTTGCTTGCGGCACAGTTGCATGTTACTGTGCCCGTTTCTTTTTGTTGTATCGAAAGAAATTTAGCTAAACTTTCTAACGCTACTGTATCGAAGAGGTAAGAAGTGGAAGGTTCCGACTTGTTTTATCATAAATGGGACTTCTTAAGCTTTAAAATGAGATGTTAATTATTATTCTACGATTATTAGTTTCGAAGATATATTTGAACGAAAACGTTCAAAGTGTAACATGTTTTCGTTGCATTCGTTGCAGGCTGTGCCTGGATTTACCCCCCCTTATACCCCCCTTACTATCGACAAAGACGTAGTTCTACGTCAAAACCGCACGTGTTTTTCATTGCCCCGACCTGGGGACTCTCTCTAAATATAGAGAGCTGGGCAAGCAATATACTCTCGGTAGGTTGCCCGGTCAGATGGGATATCTGACATCCGAGAGATGGCGATCGAAATCTGACAAAACCATCTTGATCGGATTTGAACTCGGTTCTCCGGCTCACTAGACCAGCGCACATCTCTGCGCCACGATTGCCCCTCTCTCTTGCCTCAATACCAGGATGATAAGTGCACGTTTCTACTGCTTCTAACTGCTTGTCGTATTCAGTTCATGATCATACGAGTGTTATCATCGCTCTGTTATCTCATTTAAGTTAGCGTCTATTGGTTTATTGAGAGATAAATCGACAAGTGTTTAATGTTGGCCAAGTCTCAGTTATCTAAGAATAAATCAGGAAGTTCGACGGTATAAATGGTGACCAAGCAGATTATATGTCGTGTTCGTTACAGTCGTCATTTGTAGTGCCGAATGAAAACATACGTATACTCGCAATTTCATTCGAGGGTATAAAAAAATCCACTGATGTAGATATAGCCTATCACTTATGCGTTCTGCGTGTATCACTTCGCTTTACGAAACGGCACAGTGAAGTGAGCATTTAAGTGAAATAAACGACCAAAGTCGAAGCAATTTACAGGTCAGTGTGTCGATTATTATCAACGCTCTGTTTTCCTCAAACTGCATGATATTCAGTCGGAATTTCTTAATAAAAATTTTAGATAAAGCTTTGTAAAACATGTAATTATAGTGAACTCACTTATACCGTATTATATTTAAAAAATATGAGATTAACTTGCTAATAATGCAATGATATGTGTATATTATGAATATAAAGGTAAATATTATGAATAAATAGGAATAAAAAGCACCCAAATAAATTATATAACACATAATTTAATATACTTTAATATAATTTAAGAAAATATGATTTTACAAAAATGCTACATCAGTGGGAGAATCTCAAGTTTATTCCGTGTAAATTGCATGAGTCGCGTGAGTTTGAGAGAAAAACAGTTTAAGTTGTAAACATACATAATGCACAAACATTATAAACGCGATTATAAGTTCTTATGAGATATTTTTCTATCTTATAAACAATATTTTAAAACGTATAAATAATTTTCCATATCTTTAAAGAATCTTATACTTTATAAAATATAATAATGTAGAAATCGAATATCTACAATATATAAATCGAATATATTTGTCTAACAAAAAAAAATAACCACTTCTCTTTACTTTTTAAATTAAAGAAGATAAGCCATAACAAATATCATTTCAATTTCTCAATGCAATATTAATTGTTATACGCTTTTTAAGATTAACAATCCAGCCAGAAATTATTAGTTGAATTGACGTCAATTGCATCGATAAATAGTTGATGTCAAATACTGATTTAGTTGATATCTTTGTCATCTTCGACCTTGCTTTGTCATCTTCACAATTACTTTTAATTGAGAAATTGAGACTATTTCTGTAAGATTTTTATTATCTTTCGACTAACTCTATATCGAATTAATCCAAAATCGGAAAGCATAATATAGGGGAGACCGGGGCGAAGTCGGCCCTTTTTTGTCGGTGCCGATTTTTAACAAAAAAATAAATCATTTTAGTGAAATATAGTATACCATTGTAAAGAGTGAACCCTTGGCTACAAAATTTATATAGGCATTGTTGGTCTACGTCGCTTTGTTCACCCGGTATAGAGTAAAAACGACAAAGGTGCAAAAATCGAAAAGTCAAAATTCCCGGGGCGGAGTCGTGTCTCTATTCTCGGACTGGATTTTAAATAAAGATACATAATTTTGATCATAAAAAATAATAGAATACACTTTATCCATTGTTTTTTAGTAGAAAAATGAACAGCAAAAAATAATTTCAAGAAAATCAATTTTCTTTTTTGCTAACAGTTAAAGCATGTAAAAACAGAGTCTGACGAGCGCACGCACTCGTTGTGTGCCTTACGCCTGCACGAAATGCACTGTTTTCATCGGCTCTGTTTTCTATTATCTCCGAGCATACACGCAGCACTTATTATTTAGCTTTCTTGACTTCGTTTTGGCTTGGAAACGACTTTACCCCGAACACAAGTTTTGTCGCTTATAAAATAATAAAAATTAATGAAAATAAAAAAACTGCATTGGATTCGTGTTCAGCATGCATTACTCTTTACACAATAAAAAATTTTGTGTAGTTTTGTTAAAAAAGGTTCTTGTTAAAATTTTTGTGTAAAGTAAACAACACGTACATGTGTAGATTTAACATATGCCTGCTATGTTAATTGAACTTACAAATGTAAAATGTAAAATTACTAAAATAATTTTAAAAAATATGTTAAAGTAACACAATTTGAACGTATTTATTAAATGTGTTAAAATTTACAGAAAAAGTGTTGATTTTATTCTTACAATCTTAACTTCAACATAAAAGTTATATTAATTTTACACATACACTGTAAAAAAATTTTATAAAATTACAACTATTATAGTAGGTAATTTTGAGACTCACTAATAGTTGTAATTATAATGGTTGTACTTTTACAAAATTACAGTACGGAAGGAAAAAGTATGTATTACAATTACACAAATTAAAAATGTGTGGAAATTTGCACCTATTATAGTGGGTCTCAAAATTACCTGTAATTTTACAAAATTTTTTTACAGTGTAATTAACCACAAATTACGATCAGAATTACATTTCCTTTCTGTTGAAATATTTTAACATAGTATCGGTGTTATCATTTAACACATCCATATTACGTTAAATTAACACAAAAATTTGAGTGAACCATTTGGGACATGTGATTTATGTTATATTCAACACAAATTTTCCAACTGTGTATATTACGTATTCGATGTGAATAGAAAGAGAAAGAAGGAAGGGGGAGGGGATTGGCCAAAGGATATAGAAATATTATAAAAGTATTCATAATTACTCAATTAATATAAAAACAGTTACAAAAAAAACAATGTACTTATAGTAAATACAATGAAGCCAAAGATGACAAAAATACTAGTCAGTACTTATTCGACATTGACGATTCATCGATGCATCAACGTCGAATGCATGCGATGTCGATTTGATTAATTATTTCTAACTGGGGAAAAATTACTATACTACGGCACGAGATATTTCAAATATGTGTGTATGTGTGTGTGCGTAAATATAATAAGCACACAATATAATTTTGACATATAATAATAGTAATATATTTATTAATATATAGTTTAAAAAGTTAATTAAATAAACCGAACATTAGTTTGGTATCAAGGCTTATTAAAAAAAATACAGAAGTTAATTAAAATGATGCAGTATGGTAATATTAATAAATGCATTCACGCAGTAACATAATGTTAATCACGATTTCATATATCATAAAAGGAGCGTTGCGCGTCGCTATAAGATCGTGTACATTAAAAGTTTAGTTAAAACATTTTTGCCTATCTCTTATCGTTTCGATGAGATATACGCTTAGATTAGAAACATAAGAGTTGATTTTTTCCGATGGAGTGTGTCACTTCTTTAACATACGTAAGAGCACTAAAAAAATACTCTTATTTTTATCAGTAATGTAACATACTCAAAGTTCATCAAAATTGAGGAGAAAACTTGGGTTTGTTTTTTTTTTTAAGATAAGTAGAGATAAGATTTAATCTAACAAGATTCATTTGAGTGTTACATGTACTTTATGAGTTTGCTGTGCAGCAAATATAATTAGCGCAATATTTTTGTAGCTCGATGACTTGAGGCCGACTTTTGATGCCTTTAACAATTAAACAATATAGTATGCTATTCTAATTAAAATGTACTAAAATATCGAAATAAAAATATATAAAAATCAGTTGTGAATACTTTTTAGGAAAAACTATAATAATGGTAATATAATAGAGAATAAACAATTAAACAGATTTACATACTTACCTATTATGTGACGTGGCAAATTGATGTATAATTATTGACATTGAAAATTGTGTAAAGCTATTAATTTTTATAGTAAATATTTCAAATAAATAAAAAGTAACATATTAAGACGTAACATTGTAAAACATACAACAATATTGACTAAATAATAATAATTTGACTTCGATATATAAAGAAATTACGTTTATATTCTTCAATAGCGTAGTAACTTTACTGCAAGTGTATAATCGTATGTTATGCTTTATCTAAGGGCCAAAGCACATAACATGGCGTAGCGATATACGACGGTCGTAGTCCCCGACCTGACAGATCAGGATACGCCAAAGCTTGTGTGTTACTTACGTCCACGACTACGACTGTCATATGTGCTTTGGCCCTAAGCATGACATACGCGATTACGTCCTTGCTTGAGCAATTATTACGTCAAATGAATAGTTTTCAATTTTAATTTTATCTCGTTGTTTTTGTTTTCGTAATGATTAATGTTGGCATGTTAAGGTGATCCTAAAGCCGTGATCCTAGCCGGTTTTTTTCAGTTTTTTTCTTAGCACTAATCTTTTAATTGGCTTTATAGAAATGCAAAATTCTTGTCTAGAATTAAAGTACGCATCAAAATCTAGGTCATGGTGGTCGAATTTATATCGAAAACGAAAAAAAATTAATATTTTTTGTTATACGTGACGACCACCACATATAAATTCGACCACCATGACCTAGATTTTGATGCGTACTTTAATTCTAGACAAGAATTTTGCATTTCTATAAAGCCAATTAAAAAATTAGTGTTAAGAAAAAAACCGAAAAAAACCGGCTGGGATCACGGCTTTAGGATCACCTTAAGGATGTATCACTGGTACAATCTTAGACAAAAGTGCATGAAATTTGAAATACTTGAATATCTACGCCTAACGCATAGTAAATCTAGATGTAAGATACTCAAATGATAGTAGGAGTCTTATTTTTACTCCTATACAAAGGTATTTTTTACTTTACAAATGTTTTTTCCAGTATTATTTGCGATTTTTGTAATTTATGAGCCTAAACTTTTGGCAGTAAAAATGCCCTGATATCAACTTTATAACGTCAAATTATTAATAAAATTAATTATTAATGATTAATTATTAATTAATAATTAATTATCATTAATTATTAATTTATTTCTTTAAAACGGTGTAGTGAAGACAATTGAAACTTGACAGATAGTTTCATCTATTCGTATACTAGATGTACACAAAAATTCAAAATATTGGTAGCGCTCCTTCAACATTTTTTTAGCTGTTTTATCCGTCAAAATCGTCTCTTCCCATAAAAATACGTGTAAAATCAGTAAAAATTAAAATCGTTATATCTCAGCAACCGTTTAGTGGATTCGTTTTTACTTTTTTTGTAGTACATCAGGAAGACTAAAAGAACATTCTTAAAAATTTTTATCCACTTGGTAGCGCTTTGAAAATAGGTGCAATACATCCTTAAAGTTATATAATGTGAAAATAGTATAACTAAAAAAAGAAGTATTAAAGTATTAAGTAATTAAATATATTAATACACATTTATGTAGTATACGATTTGTACAATTATATGCATTTTTTAAATGTTACCATCCCAGATAGCAGAGTGACGTCAAATGACGTATTAATTCCGTCTTAATGACGACTCTAACGTCATTAAGACGTCATCTTGCTACCTGAGATCTATTTTATCAAAATTCTCTTAAATCCATTTTAATCAATTTATTACATTAATCACTGCAATATTAAGATGTATCATAATTTAATTAAAATAAAATTTATTTGAAGTCAATTAAAGAATAAAAAGTTTTGCCATTTATTTGCATTTTTGGCACTTGATCAGTAAACCATTTTTATTGTGATTTATATCATTTACTATAAATTATTTATATATTATTAGTCTATTTAATAATAATGGGCGGATTTGATTCTAAGAAAACCGCGGAAAACATTTCTGAGAAAATTCATCAAGGTGAAATATGGCTGACGTCATTCGACCACAAGTACGTACGCGATCGCGGCGCGCCACAGGCGCGTCGTAAATTTCTCACAAATACCGCAACTCGATCATGTTCGACGGGATTTCAACGCGGAACGTATACGTATGCCGTTAACCAAAAAGGGAAAAGGGAAAAGCGGCTTCTCATCATTACGCTCTTAATTGAAACAGTTCTTAACTCAAACATAAGAGAATGCGCCCGTATCCGTGTATCTTGAATATCGACGGATATGAAGAAAAAAACGGCGAAAAGGTGGGGAAGGGGCGCGACGAAGGAAAGGGTGGAAAGGCCGGAATGAGTGGGAGGGAGCCGGTTGAAAAAGGAGAAAGAAAACGTGATAAATCTCGCCGCGAACAATAAGTTATCGTTAAAGAATCGTTTTCGCGTTTCGTGACACGGCGGGAAGAACAATGATTTGTCGGGAAAATTCTCCAATTCCAATTCCAATTCCAATTTCAGAAATGGCCCTAGAGACACCGGCATGGCTGAATCTATGCTTCGTGGAGAAGATCCTGCGAAATTCGGAAGGCGACAACTCAATTCAGGTGATCAAGATATTCTCGAAACCGGCCACGACTAAGGGTGACGGCTACTCAAGCGACATGATTAGGGTTACTGCCGAATTTTCGCGTGACCAAGGCGACAGTAAAATTACGGAGAAGAAATCAATCATTGTCAAAATCTCGCCTATAGCTGAAGGCATTCGTCAGGACCTTGTAAGTTGATTCAACTAATATAATATTTCTAATACAAATAAATCAAATTAAGTGGCAGATTCTACTATTTCGAAGTAGATTTCTGATCAACAAAAAGATCAGGACAATTATTTTTGAGGCAATCAGTGATTAAAAATAAAATTATTTTTATCAAGTTCAAAGAGGCACCTATACCTACATTTAGAAGAAAAGTATATGCTTCAGTCATTTTAAAATCAATTTTGATTTGCAAAATAAAATTATTATTTATTTGTCATTTCTGAGAAACCAAAACTTTTTATTTAAACCCTTACATCACAAAACTAATTGCATGCTTGTTTGATTTTAAAAGATTTTATTTGTTAATCTTAAATAAACTTTTTACAGGTCGAATTATCAGGCATCTTTGACGTCGAGATATTGATGATGTCAGATACCTTGGATAAAATGAATAAGTTGTTAGGGCAGGAGCATCGCTTAAGCGGGAAGGGCCTATACGTGCAAAATAAAAATCCAACGCTTCTGGTGATCGAGGATCTCGCGCCTCTCGGCTTTCGCATGGCCGATCGTCTGTCTGGTCTTGACCTAGCTCATACCATATTGGCGCTTGACGGACTAGCCAGGTTTCACGCAGCTTCTGTAGCCATATGCGAGAAGGTAAATCACTACGTCTGACACTTGTAATGTCTCATTGCGATTATCACGAATTCAGGTCAGTGCATGGAAAGTCATTTTGTATTGGATGTTAGAAGACTTCTTGCACTATATTATACGAATATTGCACTATATTAAACACATTATACATAGTCGTCGGAAATATTCAAAAGTTTCATATAATAGACATTAATATATTTTAAAGCGACGAAACATTAATTGCTTCAAATACTATGAAGAGATAAGTCTGAAACTTGTAAAGCTTTAGGATAATATGCTTAACACTTTAGATCCTATAGAGAAGTAGTTTCTAATTAATATTTTAAAAAGGTGCAAATTTTATTTTAATACCGTGTACTTACAAACATGTTGCCCAACTTCATACTAAAGTAAATTTTCTTGTTGCATAAATGTATAGTGCACAAAATTGGTCGAAACGTTCGCGAATTTTTTTATGTATTGACGATAAGAAAAATATATATAACTTGCGCCCT